TTTTTTTTTTTTCAGAACCGGAGACTGAACTCAGGTCCTTGCTCTTGCCAGGGAAGCACTTATTCCACTGAGCCATCTCCCGGCCCCCTTTTTTCTTTTTTCTTTTGTGACAGGCTCTTGCTAAATTGCCCAGACTGGTCTTGATCTTTTGGCCTTAGCCTTCCAGAGTGATAGAATTATGAATGTGTGTCAGCACACTGAGCTTCGTTGGTTTTCTTTCCGAGGTGGCCACTTGCCGTGTCGGCCAGGCTGGTGTGGTCTGGAGACCCTGGGCTCAAGCAGCCCTCGCTCCTCACCTCCTGTGTGGCTAGGACTGCAGGCCTGTGCCTCTGTGCCCAGCTTCATTGGTATTTTTAAAATGACTAGAGAGGTTTCCACCTTCTGTTTTCTTTGTATTTCTACTGTTGCAGTAAGCACCGACCTACCTGTGTGATTTTCCAGGTGTGTTTATTTTTGGTTGATTTGTGGGAAGCCCCTGCTGCTGCCTCCTGCAGAGCCCGGCCCAGAGTACCCATGCCTTTCTCTCACCCCTCTCTTCCCACTGCAGATCCTAAACCTGACACAAGCACTGAAAGACAACAAGAGTCCCCTGCACCTCGTCCAGATGCCGCCTGTGATCGTGGAGACGGCCCGCTCCCACCAGCGGTCTGCTAGCGAGTCCTACACCCAGAGCTTTCAGAGTCGGAAGCCCTTCTTTTCATGGTGGTAGCCCTGCAGGCAGGTGAAGGCAAGCCTGTGTGAGGTGCACACAGGCATCCAGGTGCAGGGAAGCCCGAGAAGCCGGTGGGGAGGAGCGCCTCCCTGAGCCCTCCCTCTGCTCGCCACGCCCTTCGGGGCTTTCCACCCACCCACAGGGAGAAGCACAGCCAGGCATGGGAGTGCTTCTGAGCCCTGCCAAGTGCTGGGGACATACAGTTAAAGATAAGGAGTCCAGGTGGTTAGGAGGAGCAGCTCCCTTCCAGCATCTCGTGATGGCAGGCTGGGAAAGTCTCTCCCTCCCTGATGCCCTACTCCATCGCAATTCCCTGTTATATTCTGCATCAGAAAAAGAGCCACATTTTAAATGCTTGTAGCAGAATCCAGAGCCTCTCATATCGTAAGCATTCAACCCAGACCTACATTTGCGTAGACCCAGGCCTTTGGGTGCGCGGTGGTTGCACACTTCTGGGAACGGACGGGGCAGAAGCCCACGGGGTGGCTACAGTGCCGGGACAGATGGGAACCACACTTCCTTTGGGTTTTTGCCAAATCTTCCCCTGTGCTTCCTGTCAGTGTGGTGGTGGGCTTCCCTTGGCGGGCAGCTTTTGCCCTGCAACCTCCAGAACCTCCATCTGCAGAACCTCCTCTCTGCCTTGTTACAGTTTTCCTGTCACTCAAGCATAGGTGTGAGGAACTGATCATACTGATTCTGGTTTTGCTTTTCTCCCCCCTGGTATTGGGGCTCAAATCTCCCAAAACCAGGGGCATCCTAAACTGAGCTATCGCCTCAGCCCTTTTTATCTTTTGACATAGGGTCTCACTAAGTTGCAAGTTGAACTTGTGATGCTCCTGCCTCAGCCTCCCTTAGTGCTGGGATTATAGGCATGCGCCGCTGTGCCCCAGTGTTCTCTTTGAATAGGTGGCTAACACCCAGCATGTGCAGGCGATCCACATGGCCTAGTGCTTGCTGGGACTGTAAGTAATCTGTAGGGCTTTTACCCTAGGCCTGCTTCTTGAGTCTTTAGTTACAGTTCTCTAATTTCTATTCTAAGTATTTTTCCCCCATCTTTTTTTTGACTTAGGAGTTCAGTTTAGGTTCTAGAGTAGGTTTCTTTGAGGAGTCTGGGGGGGGGTCTCAGCTCTTAAGAGGACAGGCTGTCTGGCCCTTGGACTCCTGTATGTGCCACCACTGCTGCTTGGAAGCGGCAGCACTTGTCTTCTGCCTCCTAGTCCTCTGCTCCCTGGCTTCTTGTCCGGGCTGGATTTTCCATGGCTCTCGGGCAAGGCAGGGCCCAAAGGAGAGAGGCCTTCATCCTGTCCCGGTGCCTGCCTACTCGGTGTACATCTTGCTTCCACGTGTCTTTTCCCTCACCTGCTCCCCTTGCTGGATGTTTGAGTCCTTTCTACACCAAAGCAAAGAATGGCCTCAGGAGGGAGTAAAAAGGATGCCACCTGCTGCTGAGGGGCAGCTGTGTTCTTATGCTGTGGACACTTCGCAGTTCTGGGACCCTGCGATTGGTCAATCAGCCTTGAAAAAAAACTATTTTGAAGATTTGAAAAAACAACCAAAGAAAGGGAGTAAGGGCTGTGGCTGTGTCCCCTGCTTACACGGCTTCCTCTATCCAGGAGACAGAGCAGAGACTTGCAGCTCTCCAGCACCTGGGCCAGGCCACTTCCCATCCATTCCAGCTCCCAGGAGCCGGCTTGTCCTGGGCTTGCACCCAGCTGTCAGCACACCCAGTCTCTGAGCACTGGAGGCGCATGTCTGGACAGAGTCACTGTTCCCCCATGTGCCCCGCCCTGACAATCGCATCGTGCCCACCTCAGTTCTGGCCTGGGGAGCCATGTGTGAGAGCATCTTGCCTTCTGAGTGCAGGAGGTACTTGGTGTTTTACCAGCCACGTCGGTACTGTCCTGTTCCAGATCAGCCCCGTGGCCAGGAGGACGTTGGGTCCACTGTGAGAGGGAGCCCGTCCCGGGCCTGGTGAGCGAGGGTAGGGGATCCTTTCCCGTCTCCTCTCTCCCTTGAAGCCTGTACTCAGGTTGCCTTGAATGTGGATTTTGGAGGACCCAAGGACACCATGTGCCAGGGCAGGCTTCTGGTAGCACTCCCAGAACGGCCAGCCATTGGCCTGTCCCCTCTCATTAGGGAGTGGAGGCTGGGCTGGGCTGTGAGTGCTGCTGCCCCATATCGTTCTTCTAATGCACTGTAGAAACTGTATGTAATGTATTTAAGTCAATGCAAATGTATGAATAATAAATCCAATTCTCACCTTTTTGTCCAGTTTTTTTTGTGGGAAGGAACACAAGGCAGAATGCATTTTTTTTTTTTTTCTTGCAGAACTGGGGATTGAACTCAGGCTCCTGCACTTGCCAGCCAAGCGCTTATTCCACTGAGCCATCTCCCCAGCCCCCAGAATGCAGTTTTAAGGACAAAGAAATCTATTTCCATGGAGTTGCAGAGATGTGGCTCCCGAGGCCACTCACCCTCATAGAGGAAGACTCGAGTCCTTTCCCAAGCCCAGTCCTCTGAAAACATGAGCCTGTACTGAAGTGACATGACTGTGACTCATGCATCTTAGTGTGAATATTTATGGAAGAAATACTGATCTCTTTTATGAGATTTCCCCTACTTAGGGACTCTAGCATTTGCTCTGACAAACAATTTTTTTTTTTAATGTATTTAGTGCAGGGTCTATAGAGTCTCACTACACACATCTGATTTGTAGTGATCCTCCTGTTTTTAGCCTCCCAAGAGCTGGGATTATAGGTGCATGCCACCACACGTAGTCCCAGTCACTGGCTCAGTGTGCCCTGGGGGCGGGGCCCACAGAAACAATTCTGTTACCTAAAATCATCTAGCTCCAAGGCTTTAGGATAGCATGTGTACTTATACTTGGGCACAAGTGGTTTTTCTTCTTGCCACCAGAGGGCAGCTATGCCCTGTGCATCACTGGCTAACGGAATCTTGGTTTATTTTGTTTTTCTTTTTCTTTTCTTTTTTTTTTTTTTGGCAGAACCGGGGATTGAACTCAGGCCTTTGCACTTGCCAGGGAAGCGCTTATTCCACTGAGCCATCTCCCAGGCCCCTCTTGGTTTATTTTGAATGGTGTTGGGATAATGTGGCAGGTCGGAAGGGTGGGAAGGAGGGGAATGTTGGCAAGCCTCTGAGGGATAGCCAGGAAAGTAGGAAAAAGCCTTCACCTCAAGGCTGCGAGGCCATGGAGAACCTAGGCTAGCAGAGGTGTTTAGAATGATTGGCCCATCTTTTGCCCTCCCTTGGGATGATCGACCCCTAGGGATGAAGAAGCCTCCCAGAAGTGCTGGTGCTCACTCCTTAAGACTACAGATTCAAGCAAGGGCCCTTTGCTGGTTGTGTGGGGCTGGCCACAGCAGCTGCCCCTTCTTTGTTCCTGACCCAGCAGCTTCTGCAGAAGGAGGCTGCCGCACAGCGACTCCAGGACATGGGGTGAGGAACCAGCAGAGTCCAGCCCCGATTTCTCCTTCATGGGGAGCTACTCCCTTCTGCCTCTGGTCTCTACTTGGACTTTCCCCTTTTAGGACAGACTCACAGGGTTCTTGGTGCAAATGTTTTTATTGTCACTTAAACGGGTTTTCTTACGCTGGCCTGATGGCATGGGCATGGGAACAAGCTGCTGGATCATGAGTGCAGTAGTAGCCAGTGGACTGGTTAGTGACAGAAGTGCTCAGATGCTACGCCTGAGTGCCTGTCGCTCCCAGAGAACTATGCAGCCCATGTAGTGTTAGGAAGGTCTGAAACACAAGCAGTGGGTCTCATGCAGTGCATAACCCAGTAGACAGAGCAGCCCTGTTCCCAGTTGAGCAGGCCTGTGCCTTTCGTTTACCTGCGTAGGGCTGCCTGCCTTCAGTTTCCTTCACCTCCCCAGGCCCTTTGGCCACAGTCCCATGACTCCTTAGGGAAGATCCTGCCGCTCCTGGCCTCTTGCCTGGATCAGTGTCTGATCTGGTGAAGGTAGGCTGTGGGGCTTGGCTTTCTCCAGCTCCGCCGGGCCCTGGCACTTGTCCTCCTGGAGTTCTGCTGTTGCTCGCTGGAAGTTGTCTCTGTGACACTGCTCTGTGGATTGGCAGGTGGAGAACAAGGCTCTGGGATTCTGCTGGGAACGAGTGCATGACAAGCCAACGTCAACAGGGAGAACAGGATGGGCTCTTGCCGTGGTAGACTATAAAACACACTGTAAGGGCAACGTAAAACCAGGGCTTGTCTCTGTGGGACTAAGCAAAGCTTTGGAAGGAGAGCTGGACTAAATCTGGGGATATGACACTCAGCACGTCTTCACCTTCTTCATCTTGTACTCATGGCAGATACCATTAGTCATGTATGACACTGTGTTTCAGGCAGAGACTGCTGGTCAACTGGAGTTAATACAAGAAGTGCCGCTCATTTGCCATCCCAGACCTGATGGCCTGTTCAGGTTGGTGTTCTGCTATGGACCCCAGAGAAGGCAGTGGAGGAACAGAGGCCAGAGAGTAACCATGGAGATGGGTTTAATATAGTTCAGCTGGGTTCCTGGGCCTAGTCGGGCAGTGACCTCAGCACAATTGGATGACGAGGACGACTGGGCAGAGATATTCTCTAAAAGTAAAGTTGCTACAGCTCGCAACCCACGATGCCTCTGCAGTACATTCCTGTGTCATATTTTCCTACTCCCACAGCCCAGAGTCTAACTAGGCCTGTTTTTGAATGTTACCTATGCTACAGGTAAACAATTATTACTTTTTTCTCCCATATAGTATGCTTACCTGGTCAAGAGTCACTACAGGGCTGGTGAGATGACTCGGTGGTCTAAAGCACCTACTTAGAACAAGCTTAGCCAAAGCAAAGGGACCACGGTTCAAACCCCCAGCACCACATGCCAGCCAGCCCCGCCCCCTGGTGGGCTGATGCCCCCCCCCCCACAAAAGAGTCACTACAAATGAAAGTGCACTAGGACTGCACACCTCCTCCTGTTGCAGCCCACAGGATCATACAATCCCATAGTAATAGCAGCCTTAGGTGCCGAACAAGAGGTGGCACTGCATAATCTTTGTACCACCTCTCCAAGAAGAGCAATATCCAGCTCCGGGTCACACAACCAGGAAGTGACAGAACAGGCACACCAGTGTCCCTTCCCTCAGCCCCCTGCCCCAGGCACCTACCTGAGCCGGCTGCAGTGATGCAAGGATGTGGCCAGGGGCCTCTGCCTGGGGGGCCTTTTCCTGCGCAGCCTCCTCAGGGCCTCTGCCACCCGGTGGTCCCCCGCACACTCCCAAATGATCTGGGCCCGCTCCTCGGCCAGCTGGTCCCCACTGCGCTGAAACAGGCCCTGGATCTGCAATAGCTCAGCATCCTGGAAGATGTTGGCTGAGGCCTGCTTGCGGCCCCGGGCCTCCGTGGGAGCCTGCCAAAGGGGAGGCTCACTCACCACAGAGGCTGGGGTGCCCATTGTCGTGTTCTGGGGATAGAAACCACGGAGACATGAGCAACGAACAGGCCCTCCCAAAGCTGGGTTTTCTGACAAACACAGGGCTTCTGGTGTTTCTATTTCTCAGAGTTCAAACTGGAGTAAATGTCTTATTTTAAAATAACTCTAGGGGCCAGGGAGATGGCTCAGTAGAAAAAGCGCTTGCCTGGCAAGCACAAGGACCTGAGTTCAATCCCTGGTTTTGCCAAAAAACAAACAAAAAAACCTCTAATTTCCCAGAGCACCTTGGAGAAAGCAAAGTATTACAACAAAACTTCATTAAGTGCTTACAGTTTGCTTCTAAAGTGCCCCTAAAAGTTTTGTTTGGATTCATCCTTTGGTGAGTTCAGTTGCTGACTGTGCTGCTGGGAGGTAGGGCCTGGTCGGAGGAAGGGGGCCAAGAGGGGAGGGGTTACAGATCCTCCCAGCTCCTTTCCCTGCTTTCAGGTTGCCTTGGCATGAATGCCCTCTCTCCAGTATGCCCTCTGTCGTACCAATTCCCAAGGAGGACCACCTGGGGACTCTCCTTGAAGGAGTAGTTGTCTCCATTTTGGTTGAACCTGACCCTATTTCCACGTACAGAGCTGGCTAGGACTTTTCCTTGTCTCTTTAATTGGCTTTAAGCAACGCGTATCGGTCCAGCCCAGGTGGCGATGGTGGTCTTGGGAGGCAGTGTTCACCCAGATGGCGGCATGAGCCGTGATGAGGTGGGATGGAGAGCCACGCTGCCAGCTGGGGTCAGCCTCGCCATAGAGGCTGTGCTTCCGGGGCTAGAAAGGTGGCTATCTCAATTGTAGTATGCAGATTACTCTTTCCGCACATCCTTCTCTTTGCACGCCACAAAGGTGATTTCTAGCCTCCTACCTAGCCCAGCTCATGGTACTTCTCACCACTCTCACAGTCGCTCCTCCTCACGCTACTCCCGTCTTCATGAATGAATAAAATCTGGGTTCCATCTTGGGTCAAGGCATTTGTTCTAGATAACCACCATTGAGGCCGGACTCAGGACCACCTTGATTCCCCATCCTTTTGGATATATTATTGTGTCTTTATCTACCATGGGTTGTACTGGAAGTGGCAGACTGGAATTAACTTATTAGCAGGCCTGGGGAGATAGCTCAGTAGAATAAGTGCTTGCCTGGCAAGCACAGGGTCCTGAGTTCAATCCCTGGTGCCGCAAAAAAAAAGGAATTACTAGCATTCCAATGACTTTTCCATGGGATTACAAATCTAAACTTCCTGGGCCTCAACAGAACTGGAAAGAGCTTTCCATAATTTCTCTGCCTTGGGCTGGGGAGATGGCTCAGTGGAATAAATGCTTCCTTGGCAAGCCCAAGGACCTGAGTTCAATCCCCGGTTCCGCAAAAAAAAAGAAATTCTCTGCCTTGAAGCCACCCAACCATGGACTGAACGCACTGAAAACCTCTCCTTGTTTGAGTGCTGTGTATTTTGTCACAGCATCAGGAAAGCTGATTATCTCATTTGCTGTTTTCTTTTTGTAGAACCAGGGATTGAACTCAGTCCCTTGTGCTTGCCAGGGAAGCACTTATTCCACTGAGCCATCTCCCTGGCCTCATTTGCTGTTAATCATTACCATTTTTTCCCCATTTTGTAGATGAAGTCCAACTCAAGAGGGCTAGATCACTTGTCATGGTTAGAAAACTGAGTGTCAGCACAGAGCCAGGAGTACTTACAAAGTGCTCTACAGTTCACACAGATCCTGTACCAGGAAGCCCAGTAACAGCGCAGCTTTGTTGAGTACTTGCTATGCATCAGGCAAGAGCTTTATTTGGATAATATCAATGAAGTGTCATAAGCACAACAGCCCTTTGAAGTAGGTATTTCTACCCTCCAAGCTGCCACCCGCGGTTGTGCCAGAACCAGACACTTCTGATGTGAAGACCTGGGCTTTTCACGCAGAGGTAAGAGTGAGGGTATGGAGTTGGCTGCTTGGGTTGGAAACACTTCTGCCACTTGCTAGCTGAGTGCTAGTACTCACCTCATCAGGATGATATGAAGAGAGTGTTTAGAAGTGTTAGACCTTAAATCTAGATGTTCCCTCAAAGCCTGATGTATTCATAGGTGGGGATTTTTGGAGTTGGCTGAATCTAGTATGTGTGATGCTGAACTTAAAGGTGTATGATAATTGGTTCAGCACAGTTCTGGGTAGATAAAAGAAGCACACCCCAAGCGGGGATAGCACCAATCAGTAGACTTAATTTTGATGGTATATAATGAGAAAGAAAGCAGTTTCATGTGGAGGACCACCTGAGCAGCTCTCCTTGAAAGAAGAGCGACTGTCTCCATTTTGACTGAGCCTGACCCTGTTTCCTCGTATTGATATGTGCAGGCTGGCTAGGGCTTCTGTTTATCCTTCAATTGGCCTTAAGCAATGTGTACTGGTCTAGCTGAGGTGCTGGTGATAGTCTCTGAAGGTGGCATATGTGTTTCCCCGGTAACCTACACCTGCTGCTCTTTAATGTGAGCTGGATCGAGACAGGACGGAAGAGCCAATGCTCCGCGCCACCAGCTGGGATCCAGCCTTGAGACAGAAGCTATGACTTCCTGGGGCTTAAAAGACTACATCAAAGCTGAAGCACCAGACCCCCCAAAACATTAGATACTATCTCTATAGCATAAAGCAGATTACTCTCTCTGCATATCCTCTCTGTACATGACAGAGGTAAATGTAGGCCACCCACCTAGCTCAGCTCAGAGTCACCTACTTCCCACAATTCTCGGTCATTCCTCCTCAAGCCACTCCTCCACTTAATAAAACTGGGTGAGGCCCTGGGTCAGCTCTCTTTGTTCCAAAAAGCCATCTTCATGGCTGGACTTAGGGCCCCTTAGCTCCCCAATTATTATAAATATGTTTTAGTGTCTTTATTTTCACTGTGGGTTGCACTGGGAGTGGTAGATTGGGATTAACTTGGTGGGATTCCAATAATCTTTGGGATTACAAATATTAAATTCTTGGACCAAGACGAGAACCAGGAAGGGACTCCTACAGTTTCACTGTTGCAGCTTGCTGCTTTGCTGCCTTTTGCCTACCACACCATGAATTATTTCTCCTCCATGATGCCCCTCTGCCTTGCTGCCTTGACTTGAGCCAGCTGTCTATGGACTGATGCCTCTGCAAACCAAACTAAATAAACCTTTTCTCCTTTAACTTGTGGATGTCGGGTATTTTATCTCAGCAACAAGAAATAAGACTGACAGTGTTCACTGTTTAACCATAAACTGTTCCAGTAATATCTCATCCAAAATGTTTGGGATTCTGAATTTTTCAGATTTGGGGATTTTACATACATTTGAGATATGTTGGGGAGGGAACCCAAGTCTAAACACAACATTGATTGATGTTTTATATATACATTACACATATAGTCTGATGGTAACTATGCAATATTTTTATTTCAGTCTCTTATTTAAAGTTTCATGGTGTAAAAATTTTCACTTGGTTTATATTAGCACTTAAAAAGTTTACGTTTTAGGGCTGGTGAGATGGCTCAGTGGTCTAGAGCACCTACTTAGAACAAGCTTAGCAAAGCATCAGGGACCGCGGTTCAATCCCCCAGCACCACATACCAGCCAACCCCGCCCCCTGGTGGGCTGAGCTGGCCACACACACACACACACACACACACACACACACACAAATTAAAAAAAATTTTAAAAAAAGTTTATGTTTTGGAGCATTTTAGGTTTTCAGATTAGGGATGTTCAAGCTGTGTTCCTCTTCTCATAAAACTGATAAGGATCCTCCTATTGCCTATCTTCAAGACTTTAGGGATAAATCAAAGCCACCTAATTTAGCAAACAATATGAATGAGACCCATCAGATCTAATTACACCCAATGGACAAGGGAGGGGACCAGATCCCACTGAGGGGCAGAAGAGGAGGCTACTAAGGTCAGAATATACTATCAAGGACAGGCTGATGTAAGAAAGTTGAACAGATGATAAGCTTTGTGTCAGTGTCTCTTGCCATTCTTTTTTAATCTTTTAATTAATTAATTTGCACAGGGTCTCACTGCACAGCTCACTCCTAGTGACCCTCCTGTCTCAGCCTCCCCAGCACTGGAATCACAGGTGTGCACCACCATATGCAGTTTGGTGGCCAGCACGGTATGTGGTACTAGGGATCAAACCGGGCTCTTTGCCCTTGCCAGGCAGGCACTTAGACTCCTGAGCTGTTTCCCCAGCCCTCTCTTGTTATTCTGACACATGGAAATCAGATACTTTACTTCTGGATATTTCAATTTAATTACTAAAGGCATAAAAGGCTCCCCACTTTATCCTTGTTTCCAGAAGCTACAGGTTTGGAAAAGAGCCTGCAGACTGGGAAGATCAAGGACTTTGGCATTATACAAAGCGGGTTGAGTCCCAGCTCTGTTACCTTCCTAGCCTTGTGACTTTAGGCAAGCTACCCAGTCTCTGACCCTATTTCCTTAGAGTGTAAGACGGGGGATATTGTACTAATATCCACCCCTCAAGATTCTGGTGGGAATTTATTTTTTGTTTGTTTGTTTTTTGCAGAACCAGGGATTGAACTCAGGCCATTTCACTTGTCAGGGAAGTGTTTATTCTACTGAGCCATCTCCCTGTCCCTTCTGATGGGAATTTAAAGAGACTAGGGTGGTGTCAGGCACCCAGGAAGAGCTAAAGGAGTGCACATGCCCCTCTTTTTTGGCCTCTACCCAGGTACAAAGGTCAGGGATGTGATGTAGACTCTCCATTTCTTGCAGGCAGCGGGACTGGAGCCAGCTGAAGACAGCCTGTGCTCCTGCATCCCTTGCTTCCCAGCCGAGGCCTAAGGAGAGGAAGAGGCAGGTCCTGGTCTCCCCCAGGGCCTCAGTCAGCTTCCTTCTGGCCAGAGATGGATACCAAAGGGGGCAGAGGAAAGCCAAAATACATTCAAATGAGCTTGTCTTATACACTCACTGTAAAAGAGGCCATGAGCACAGAATCATATGAATAAAAGTATTTCCAGTTTCCTTTCTGCCTGCAGAAGCAACCTTTACCCTCGCCTGTGTTTTGTTTTCTGGAGGGTGAGTCACCTCTCCACCCCATTCAGACTCCCCAACTATTATTCCCTCCCTTGTTGCAGTATCTCACGCCAAAGCTCACCCTCATTATTCCAGTAATTTTCTTTTTCTTTTTCTTTTTTTTTAAATATTTATTTATTTATTTAGTGTGTGGCCAGCTCAGCCCACCAGGGGGCGGGCGGGCTGGCATGTGGTGCTGGGGGATTGAACCGAGGTCCCTGTGCTTTGCTTGGCTTAGCTTGTTCTAAGTAGGTGCTTTAGACCACTGAGTCATCTCACCAGCCCCTCCAATAATTTTCACAGTCATCCTGTCCCAGCTTGTAGCATCACGAACCCCATTCTCTCATCAGGTGTGGTGGAGCATGCCTGCAATCTAAGCATTCTAGCACGAGGATTGACAAGTTCGAGCTCAATCTGGGGTACTTAGTGAGAACTTATCTCAAAATACAAAATTAAAAAAAGGACTAGGGAGATTGCTCAGTGCAAAGGCCCTGGGATCCATTGAATGGAGGTGCAGAAGGAAGCTGAGATGCAGGTCCAAGGACCAGCGACCGGGTGAAGGCTGTTCCGTGACTGCCTAATATCTAACCCTCCGCATTGTCTTCAGAGCCAGGAAGCTGGAGCACATTTCTTCATATTTCCATGAAGAGTGCTTCACTATTCCTACCTAATACTCGATCAGTAAAAGGAAAGGACAATGAGTTACTACACGGGCGGAGTAAGGGAATTTGTTAACTAGCATCAAGGCTGTTGACTGGGTGACTGTTCCCCCAGCCTTCAACCAACTGCACTATTTAGAGGAAAATCCCCAGCTTTCCCAAAAGAAACTTAGAACTGAGCCATAGTCCAGCACAAAGCAATGACTTGTGAGTCAGAAGTTTGGGTTCCTGCCCTGGTTCTGCCACTCCCTGGATGAGAGGCCTCAGGCAAGTCACAGCACCTCAGTGGGCCAGTTTCGCTCCTTTTGTTGCAAGGACAGATTAATGCTGACAGTCTCTGAGGGCTTGCCTGGTGTTGAGAGTCAGAGATGAAAAGAAAGGGAAACAGTGATGCCAACACAAGGCTAGGTCTGCACAGACAGAGAACAATGCCACTTGTCTGCCTGGGCCGAGGAACAGCGAGTGGGTTCGGGTCTGGCTGGGTAGGTGCTAGGAAACTCGCAACCTGTAGACCTTGCTGTCCTTCCTCCTCCATCTCCCATGGAGTCCAGGTCAGAGAACTCTTCTCTAAAGCATTCTATTGATCGAGCTTAGAGAAGACTTCTAGGCTGGCCTAGTGGCTGGAGAAGGGATGATGTTAGACTCAGGTAAATCCCCCAACCCTGGGACAGAATGACAACAAAGATAAAGCAGCAGCTGTCTTGAGGGAACAAATGGTTTGTCTTAAGGCTGACTTTCCAGATAGTTCCAGCAACTTCTGCCAGGGCCTTGACTGGACAGTTTATAGCCAACTGCATTACAAAGTAACACAAAAAACTACCTGGGCTAGCATGGCCTCCCATATACTCAGGAGGCTGAGCAGGATCACAAGTTCAAGGGCAGCCTGGGCAATCTGGTGAGGCGGTATCTCAAAATAAAATGAGCTGGGGAAATAGCTCAATGGTTGAGTACTTGCCTGGCATGCTATGAGGAACTGGGTTCAATTTCCAGTACTGCCAGATGTGGTGGTGTATGCCTGTAATCCCAGCACTTGGGAGGCTGAAGCAGGAGGATTATTGGGACAAGCCTGGGCTACAAAGTGAGCTCAAGGCCAGCCTGAGCTGCATAGTGAGACCTTGTCTAAAAAAAAAAAAAAAATCCCAGTACTGAGGGAGGGAAAAATCTGAAAGAATCAGACCCTTTGTCTAGAAACATTTGCTAGGGCTTGATACATCTAGATTTCAATGCTCCTCATCCTCGTCTCTACCCTACCCAAGGATTCAATTCAGTAAGTAGAGAGTGAGGGAGGGAGGCTGGGAATAAAAAGAGGTGGATTCCAGGTAAAATTAGATGGTAAACTTTAGGAGAACTGAAATAATGAAGCAAACATTTTTATCATCAGAAGAAACATTTCCTGTCTCACTGAGTGTGTTCAATAGTTCCTTCCCCTTCAATTTCCTGGTCAAGACCTTAATCCAGGAAGGTCAGTGTATACTTGAACAATGAAAAATGTAAAAGGGATCCACTACAAGTGGACCTTCCATTTCAGACCTGACATGTATGAAAGCAAGTATGGCTCTGTAAGCAAAGGAGCAAAGACTCGTTGCAAAATACGTCAGTATGACACCAAGTAAAAATGCACCTTCAAAGTAAATACCAAATGTTGAAAATGACAAAGTTCACTTCCTTTAAATCAGACAGCAAGTGAAGAACTGCAGATCGCTCACAAAGAAATGTTAAAAAGTGACTCAACCAACAATGAATTTGCAATATGGTGCACAATTGACCATGCTTTGTAATATATGAGGTGAGTTCTGGCACCTTTCTAGGTAACACATCATTGGAGTCTCAGAAATGAAAGGAACCCTGAGAGTCCAAGTATTCTTGGGTCAACCGGGCAGCTCCTGGCTCCTACTCAGTGTGTCCTCTTTGAATAATCCCAGTGATGGCAATGATCTCTGTAATCAGAGGCCAAAGACCTCTTAGAAAAATAACTGGAGGGCTGGTGAGATGGCTCAGTGGTCTAAAGCACCTACTTAGAACAAGCTTAGCAAAGCAGAGGGACTGCGGTTCAATCCCCCAGCACCACATGCCCGCCCCCTGGTGGGCTGAGCTGGCCACATAAATAAATAAATAAATAAATAAATAAATAATTTGAAAAAAAAAGAAAAATAACTGGAGGCTCTGGCTTGAGGCCCAAATCAACAGTTGTGGCCTGGCCTGCTACTCTGCACAGACATGCCACTGGATAGCAGCCAGAGTCGGTTGCTTCTCCAAGGAGAGCCCAGTCCAAGCAGCTAGGTGGGCTCCAGATGCCACTGAGTCTCAAAATCTGTGCTCCATGAAGTGGAAAACAAGCAACCTGGGTCTTTTCCTCAGACCAGTTCTCAGACATGATCTGGAAATAGAAATTACTAGATCTAGGAATAACTTTTTTCAATAGCTCAAGAACCTTGAATTCTGGCAGTGCCTTTCCTAACTGGGTGATTTTAAACCAGTTTTGCTTTCTCCTGCCTCCATTTGCTCACCATCAAAATTGGGAGGAAAAAACCTACTTTCTGGAATAAGGAAGATGAAGTGTGTGAGAGCATTCATCCTAGCACCTGGCATATAACAGACATTCTATGTGTTGTGTGTTGGTTCAGTGAATGCACGATATAGAAAGAAGGCTGTTAGCTAAGAGGACTACAGAATTACGATCATTTTCATCATCACTGCCAACAGCAAACTCCAAGAGGAGCCTTCAGCCTTGGGAAAGGGCAAAGCTTTATGAGTAAGCTCTGAGGTGGTTTGCCATGTCAAGAGCAGAAAATGCAAGAGCAGTTTCAGAGGGACAGTTTAGTCCTCACAGGAGGTCGCAGGATCGGAAAATCTCTATGAGAGGCCACTATTGTTAAGCCCACTTCACGGACCACAAAGCTGAGCCTATAAAGGTCACGTAACTTGCCCAAAGTCACGCCGAGTAGACGATGAAGGCTGGGATGTGAACACAGGTGATCTGACCCCAAGGCCCATGCTCTCAACCACTGCTATTTTTGTTCCTGCCAGATGGCTAAGGAGGTCTTCAGGGGAAAGACGGCCCCAGAAGGTTTTTCGCACCTCTCGGAACCCTCTATTGGCTTCTGCAGGGATCTAAAGTCAGATCTCCCAAGCCTGCCTCGATACATCCCCCCCGCATTCCACCGCTGGGGGTCGCGGGGAGTTAGGGCGGTTATGCACTAGGCTGAAGGGCAGCTCCGACAGTCCTCAAATCCGGATGGGTCAAACTAAAACGCGCCCACCCCAATCCTTCCAGGGCGTTGGAGAGGGCAGGCGCAGTTCGGGCTTCTGGCCACGAAGGACCAGGACTGGGAGCGAGTATCTCAGCCGAGCTAACACGCGACATGGCCAGCGCGGGTCAATCTCCCGGGCTCAGATGAGGCCGCTTCGCGGAACGGCGGCCTCTAAGTGGATTTGCGTGCGTACCCCAAGGACACACTGACTCTGGCCATCCACCCGCCCGCTTCCACCACCGACCTACGTACCTGGTTGCCCAAGGCGGGCCACGCGCAGCCCCAAGCCAGCCCGAACCACCTCGATCGCAGCCGCGGATCCCCGGAGAAAGTCCTCTGAGCCCCGGGACAACTAGCCAATCCTCTGCCCTAGCTTTGCTGCAAGCTCAGAGGCTAGCCTTCCAAAAATCAAACGCGGAGACTCCACCGGCCAATCAGCTGCGGCACAGCGGAGGAGGCGTGTCCGGCCCCGCCCCTCCGCCGGCCTCCAGAAGCCCGAGCGGAGATTCCCCAGGTCCAATCAGCGGCAGAGCAGAGGCAAGGGGCGGTGCCTCCCCGCCCTTCGCTCCGCCCCGGCCACCCTCGCTCCTAGCCCGGAGGCGCCCCAGTCCTTGACGTCAGTCCCCAGGGCCAGAGCGGTTTTGCTGGCGCGGGAGCCGGGCGGGGCCGCATTCCTGCCCCCGGGTGCGGCTGCGGCTAGCCGGGCAGGATACGTGTGACAGATGCCCCTTGTCCTGGGTCGATGCCAGCGTGTGCAGCACGACTTCTTGCAGCGCTTGTCCCTTTGTGGCTCTTTCTACTGTGCAGCTCCTAGAACGTGTCTCTCACCTAGACCACCTGTGTTCCGGCTTCAGGGAGAGGAGGGGGCAGTTTGGCTTCAAAGCCAAATAGATTCTAATTATGGATCGTCTGTGCGAATTTGGGCTGATCACCTAAACGAGACTACTTAAATTTGCGTACTTCTTCATTTTGAAACTGCTCATCAGAGACCTACCTTGTCAGGGTTTCTTACCAGGTAGAAATGGGGCTAGAGCCATTGTTTGCCTTTGGGGATTTTACAGCCTAGTGAGGGAGGCAAACACCAAATCACCGAAAACAATATGTAGTTACAATTGCGAGCAATGGTATGCTGCCAAAGAGCCTAAACTCCCCCTGAGAGTCCTGGAAAGCTGAGGAAGTACCATCTAGGCGGAGGAGATATGAAGGAACAGTTGAAGTTGTTAGAATGAAGAGGAAAGGGTCAGGGAAGAGTGCCTGAGGAGGAGGGCGTCTGCTAGGGTCAGCACACAGCTTTGCTCGGAAGGAGCTCCGCGGTAGAGCTACCTCAGCAAGGCAGCGCAGAGTGGGACCCAGAGGGCAGAGGCAGGCAAGGACCAGGTTTTCATTTGATCCTCAGAGGGGTTTAAGTAAGAAAAAGCGTGATATGTATTTACTGAACACCATTCTACAACACTTACTATGTGCTGGTGATGCACTGGTATCACTAGCTTGTTTTATCCTGGTGACAAATTTGTGTTTTTAAATCGCTCCAACTGCAGCTTATAAAATACTGGAGTGGATTAGGGTAACCATTAGGCTCTTGTTAAATGCTTATTTTCTTCCTTGGAAGATGAGTGGTTGTTTGTGTACTTGTCTCGAAATGGTCTGGAAAAGAGCCTAGGTGGGGAGGTCTCTTTTTTCCCTTTAAAACTGACTTTGTCAGCTTGATTTTTGTTCCATAAAAGTTCCACAAGGAACCACCACGCTGCAGTTTGTGAGTTCCTTTTTCCAAGGTGAGGCGGCTCTTCAGAAACTGTTCTTCCCCTCCCCAGATTTAGTTCCCCTTTCTGTCTCTCTGACAACAGCAGAATAGCCAAGTATGCTCTAGTGAAAAGGGGTTTGAGGATGGTGTCTGCTTTTTCCTGAAGCTCTGGGAAAATGGTGAAAACAAACAAATCAGCAGTGCTTGTTCCTAATAAAAAGTATTGTATAATCTTTCAGCCAACTCCTTGGTAAGAAGACTATGTAGGGGTTCCTGGGAGAGAGCTCAGTGGTCTAAGTGTCTGCCTGGCAAGCACAGGGACCCGGGTTTGATCCCCAGTACCACTCCCTGGGACAACTAGCCAATCCTCTGTCCTAGCTTTACTTCGAGCTCCAAGGCTAGCCTTCCAAAATCAAATGCGGAGACTCCACTGGCCAATCAGCCATGTTGGCCCCCACACAGTGCCAACCACCGAACCTGGCCTGGTGGCACATGCTTGTAATCCCTGTGCTTGTAACGCTGAAAACAGGAGGATCACTACGAGTCCGATCTGTGTAGTGAGATCCTGCAGACCCTGTACTAAATACATTAAAAAAGAAAGAGCTGGAGTATAGAGCAGCAGTGGACTGTATCCTTAGCATATAATGAGACCTTGGGTTTCATCCCTAGCTTTGTAGAATGAAAGAATGAATGAACTCAGACTAATCATACCCACCTCTGCATTAATTTTAATTTTTTAAATACTGCATTAAGGTATTATTTATCTTGATCATTAAGTGCTGCTAAGAGGATGAAGCGAGAGTGCTTCATGCCACAGGATGAGTGCTTCGTAGGCTGAGTGCCTCAGCTAATCATGGATTGAAAATATTTGAAACATGAAAATGATAGAAGACAAACCAAACAAAAAAGAAGATATTTGAAAAACAAATTGCACCTGTGCCAAACACATACGGACTTTTTCCGTGTCATTATTCCCTGAACTCTGCAATGCAATGACAACCTATGCAGCCTTTCCAATCTTTTATGTTATATAAGTAATCTAGAGATGCTTCCAAGTGGACGAGGATGTGTTCAGGGTCTATACAAATACTACATTGCTTCGCCTCAGGCTTGAGCATCCACAGAGGTCCCAGAAGCCATTTCTCCATGACTGCTGGGGGACAGCTGTACTTTGCTATAAATGCTGAGCCGGCGCTGGATTCCTCTTGCTTTGTGTCCTGCAGTTGTTCAGGCAGGTGGACAGTTCTGGACCCTCAGGGATACTGAGATTTGGGTTTTTTGTTTGTTTGTTGTTTTGGTGGAACCAGGGATTGAACTCAAACCCTTGAGCTTGCCAGGGAAGCGCTTGTTCTACTGAGCCATCTCCCTGCCTCCGATACTGAGATTTGTTGATGTGAGCTTCTAATTGGCTTGTGGTGGGCTCTAGAGAGAGCAGGAAAGACACCCTCCACTCACAAGCCACGTTATGAGATGTGGGTCAACTCTGGCTTTTTTGAAAAATGACAATGATTATTCTAAACTCTTTAAAATAACATCCTTCAGGCTGGAGAGATGGCTCAGTGGAATAAGTGCTTCCCTGGCAAGCACAGGGGCCTGAGTTCAATTCCTGGTTCTGCCAAAATAAAAATTAAAAAAAAAAAAAACATCCTTTTGCTTATGACATTACACAAAACAACTTAGGTGGCAGCACTCCTTTTGGAGTTTATACTCTGGACAGGCCAAAAATATCAAAGTCTCACAGTTAAATGGTAACTTATGGAAATACTATAACAAACAAAAATCTCCCCCCCAAACCCACCATTCATGTAGATTTAATTTAAAGCATAGTATGCTTGTGCTGCTACTTGAAAAACGTCCTGAACATTGGGTGGCTTCCACTAAATAAATTAATTTTTTTGTAATTGTGGAGGCTGAGAAATCTAAGATCAAGACGACTGCCAATTCAATTATTGATGATGGATCACCCTCTCTCTCTCTTTTTTCCTGGCTTGACTACTTCTAACGTTTGTGTGTGTGTGTGTGTGTGTGTGTGTGTGTATGTTTGAGGGACAGACAAACAGACAGACAGACAATGACAGATATATATATAGAGAGAGATAGAGAAGGAAGAGGAGGAGGAGGAGGAGAGGAGAAAGAGAAAGACAACAAGGACGGGAAAGAACAGAAGGGAAGAGGAGAGGAGAGGAGATGAAACAATCACAAGTGCACAAGGGGGGCTGAGCTCGCCATCCTGGTAACAAGGTAGTAGTCTACTCCAGTGGCACTGACACTAATGCATTTGTGAGGACTGAACCCTCATGACCTAATCTCTAATTAGACACCCCTGTCAGCACTGTGGCTTTGGCGATGAAGTTTCCAAAAATGAACTTTAGGGAACACATTCAAGCCATAGAAACTTACAAGATATCAAAAAGCCCTGCTGGATATCTTAAATAAGTATAATTGTTTTGTACTGGAAATCAAACTCAGGACCTCGGACTTGCCAGACAGAATAAATACAATTTTATTTGTTAATCAGACCTCAGCAAACCTGGGAAAAATAAATGCTAAGTAAATCATCTCCTCGAAGACAGACAGCACATATATCATTAGGATTCCTCTGACTTTAAGAAAGACAAGACCCAGCACCCCCAGTCTAGGCTCTGGAGGGAAACATTTCTCAACTCTGTTGTCACCCTTGCACTTCAAATGGATGTGTTCACTGGCCAACCCCAGCTGAAAGCCGGTGTGAAAGAGAACCTCCTTTGTAGTTAAAGCAGAACACCTTCTGGGGAAAAGCAGAGTGGGACACGGTGAAGACTTGGGCAGGAGGGCTGGCACCATGCCAACCAAGCTGACTTAGCAGGAAGAAGCTTGTCTTCTCACATCGTAAGAAGTTCAGAGGCAGAGGGGGCTCTGGATTCAGCAGGGCAATAATGTCATTCTCTGCCATTGGTAATACCTCTCCTCACAAGCCAAAGCTGGTTGCAGCAGTTCTATGAGTAAAATTCAATAAGACCTATATTCCATCCTATGAATCAAGTTTTTAATTAATTAATTAATTAATTAATTAATTGTGGTACCAGGGATTGAACTCAGGACCTTGTGCTTGCCAGGTAAGCACTTATTCCACTTGAACTATCTCTCTGGCCCCCTCTTTTCATTCTACTAAAAGTATCTATGAGCCAGGTTTTTTGTTGTTTGATGTTTTGGTTTTTGAAACAAGGTCCCTCTATGTAAGGCTTGTGTTGAACTCACTATGTAGCCCAGGCTGGCCCTGAATTTGCAGCAATCCTCCTGTCTCAGCCTACTGAGTGCTGGGATTACAGGTGTGCGTTACCACCTCTGGCTTCTATGAGTCAGTTTTAATAAATGAGGACAAGAGGGTTTTGTTTTTCCCCTAGTACTGGTGATTGAAACCATTTATTTTTCGTTTTGAGACAGGATCTTGCTAAGTCACTAAGTTGCTCAAACGGCTTGAACTTGCTTTAGCTCCCCAGAGAGCTGAGATTGCAGCCATGTGTCAGTGTGCTAGGTGACACTCTCTTTACCTTTTCTGTTAAATTTATCCTTGCATTTCATTGGATGAAACTGAGTCAGATATCCAGTTTTAAAGCAAATATTGAAAAAGTGGAATTAGGTCACCAGGATTAGCTGAAATTAATCATGGT